ATAATAATAATAATAATAATAATAATAATAATAATAATAATAATAATAATAATAATAATAATAATAATAATGATGATATTATTATTATTGTTACTACCAGTTAAATCAATATATAATAAATTGACTACTATTTAATTTTTTTTTTTACCTTCCATTGCAGCTTGAAGGGCATTGATGGGATCAATTTCGAGGATGATTACTCGAGCACCCATTCCACGAAGAGCTGCTGAACAACCTTTTCCTACATCACCATAGCCTGCAACAACCGCGACTTTACCCGCAATTTGTACGTCGGTAGCACGTTTAATACCATCAATAAGGGACTCACGACAACCGTAAAGATTGTCGAATTTAGATTTTGTCACTGAATTATTTACATTGATAGCGGTAACTTTCAATTTGCCTTCCTTTAACATCTTGTATAAATTATGAACACCAGTCGTTGTTTCTTCTGATATACCCTTTATACCTTAAAAATTCGTGAAATTTCTTAATTTTAATTCTGCGACATAATCAATAAAGATCAAAAAAAATTATAATGAGATTTACCTGGTAAAAACTCTGGATGTTTTTCATGGACCAAAGCGGTCAAATCACCTCCATCGTCTAAAATCATATTCAGGGGCTTTCCATCTTTGAATGCGCAAAGGGTCTGTTCAATGCACCAAATATATTCTTCTTCAGTTTCACCTTTCCAAGCGAAAACAGGTACGCCAGTGGTCGCAATTGCGGCAGCAGCTTGATCTTGGGTGGAAAAAATGTTACATGAGCTCCACGCAACTTCAGCTCCAAGGCAAGTAAGCGTTTCTATCAATACAGCTGTTTGGATTGTCATATGAAGGCAACCAGCGATACGTGTTCCAGTCAAGGGTTTCTTTTCACTATACTTTGCGCGCAGAGTCATCAAACCAGGCATTTCATTTTCGGCTAATTCTATTTCCTTGCGGCCCCAGGAAGAAAGTGAAATATCGGCTATAATTTAATTAATTATATATTATCACACATTAGTGTTGTTTTTTTTTCCATCTCTTTCCAAGAATTCTTTGATAGATGCACTCACCAATTTTATAATTTGACATTTTCTATTTTTTTTTTAAGCGAAAGTAGAAGATAAAAAAAAAAATTAAAAAAAAAAAAACTACCACTCTTATCCAAAAGACTCGAAAAATCAACCCAAATCGGGAATAGCACGTTCATTAAAGATTATCACGTATCTGATTAAAATTTTTTACGTAAGCTAGTCTAAACTATTTTAAAATTTATGTTGAGCCAAATTTATTATAAAAAGTCATTGGTTCAAAAACAGTTCTGCCTACAATATAACTTAATTTTCACTCAAATCAATCAATCATAAAATGACAACCATAATCAAGTATTGTAAATATTGTATTTCTATTAACATAATAAAAATTTATACAGGTAAAACTGAATCAAAGTATAACGAAATTAGTTAATTCGCTTCAAAATATCACGAAGAATGCGGAGTTCAAGATATTTAAAGCAATTATTTAGAACATATTCTTATATTTTTGAATTATTGCTAACAGTTCGTTGCCCATAGGTTATCTTATAAATTGAAAAAGAAACATTGAATGAAATATCCGAAAATGATGTGAATATCATAGGAATAGATATGCCACCCATCAAATCTAACAAACGTTGAGAAGGTTTTTATAACTATTCATAATATTTTTCAAGCCGAAAGAATTGATGATAAGTATTATTATTGTTTTATATGTTTATTCTATTCATTTTCTAATCTTTATTATTACTTAATTTCTGAAGCAAAGTGTTCATAAGGCTTTAAATGTTTCAATTCAACCACAACTTCCAAACTGAATGATACAATATCTACGGTTAATGGCAACGAATTTCGACCCGATGTGGGGGATGGAATCAATGGTCAACACGTAAACAATAATTTCATCCCTATCATTAATTCGTCTCCACTTTCTGTATTATGGACTGAGGTAGTCTATTATTTTTTTGACTGTATGAATGTTATATAATGATTTGTATGGTTAAAAATGACATCCAAAACTGTTGTTTCAACAGGAACAGGATAATTGTCCAATCCATACTGCAAAAAAAAAAAAACCGTAAAATGTTGAGACCAAAAAAAATTAAACGTTAGACTGGCCAGCAAATTCTCCCGACCTTAACACCATAGAAAAATCAGAAAATTGTTAAAGGATAATATCTAGAAAATTTTTTTTTTCCAAAACTATAGATGAGCTCGAGACTACTTTGAATGAGGAATGGTTAAAATTTGATGATCAATTCTTAGGAAGGTTGTGGACTCAATGCCACGAAGAATTGAAACAGCATTGAATGCAAAGGGAGGACCAACTAAGTATTAGTTAATTAAAAAAAAGAAAAAAAACTTTATGTACATAATATAGAAATAGAATAAATTATCGAAATTTTTATTATAATAAAAAATCGGGCGTTACGTTAGGATATTGATTTCTTGAATAGGATTTTTTACAAGAGGAAGAACCATTAACAAAAACTCTGTATTTGGACAATATGGTAGAAATATTTAATTTTATTCAATGCATTGTTAAATCATTCGGGTTGTCAAATGCCACCTGCGATATTCAATAAATAATTTAATAAAATTACCAAGAAAACAATTGTACAGAAGTAACCTCCTTCAACAACACCATACATTGGTTATTAGCCTGTATGTGCGAATTTTGATGCAGTACAATGGTACAAAATGGAATGGAATAAACACATTATTCTTGGATGTGGGGCGTGCATTTATTTTGGCATCTCGATTCAATTCCTGATGTATTGCAGTACGATTACTTTGCTTAATAATATATACGATAACTTCAGCCAACCCTAACCCTAACTCTGGTCAGTTGACATCTGAGGCACAACATATGATATTTATATATAAAAACTATAAAAACTTACAATTGAGATGAAAATTTATAATTTTTTATTTTGGTTTACTGATACAAGAAATACAAAGAAAAATGGGTTTAAAAAATGTAAAATGTCCTGACGATCAATTTATTAAATTATGATGGATTCGTTACCACCTCTTGAACCTACAATAGAACAACTTCCTACATTGGACGTAGATAGTCTTACATATGAAAAGCGCCGTTTAGAAAATTCGATTTATCATTTAAATCGTTCAAATGAGGAATTGAAAAATTATGACGAAAATGATAACGATTTCAAACTGGCGATTAAAGAAAACGAGGAACTTATAATAAAGTATTTTTCTAAAACAAAAAAAAAATGCTCTTTAATCAAGTTTTATCCTAAAAAATTTAACTGGAATAAAAAGTCAAATTCCCGAATTTTCGAATTAGATTGCGCGACAAAATCAATCTCATTGAAAATATTTTGACAGAAAGACGGCAAAAAGGGAACAATTGTATAGAAGTTGAAATCTCCCAGACGACAGAATCAAATATACCGAATTCAACAAATTTTGGCGTACACGAGAATCAAATGACACTTGATGTTTCTAATATGCCTAATGATAATTCAGAAAATGATATGAACGAACAAAGTACATCAGACGAACAAATGAATAATGGATTTTATTTGTGATCAATTATCTATAAATCCAATACGTATATATATTATTATTATTATTATTGTTGTTGTTTTTAGGTAATTTCATAATTTTTTGAGAAAACCAATATATTTATGATTGTTTGTCTAATAAAATTTATATATATTTATATAATTTGTTTTTCTATATAATTCATACCTTTTAGTTTTGATTGATTATTTTGATTATTTTTTACATGCAAGTTTGTTACAAATAATTAAAAGTTACACTTGTCATCAATAGATAAAATTATTATCTTTAAATATAATCAATGGGAAATGTGTAAGGTTAAAACTTATTTTTTTAACTTAGTTAAAGAGGATTAAAATAATTCAGAATCATATTAATCATATTAATATTAATTGGATAAACCTATTAATATAAATGTAAAAATAAGGTCATCATTTTTTTTGTTTCAGAAATTCTTTTGTAAAAAAAAAAATATGCAATAAATATATAAAAAAGGAAAAGATTTTTTATAAAATATTGTATATGTTATATATGTTATTATTATTCGATTATTATTACCTAATTATATTTTTAAAGAATTGAATAGAAAATAGAAAATATAATTACAACCAATATTACATGACATCTATTATATTTGAATAAATTTAACTTGTACAAAAAATAATAACTCAATTTTTAGTCAATCTAAAATAATAATGATGAATATGATGATGATAATGAAATAATAAATGAAATAATAATAATGATAATGATAATGATGATGATAATAATAATAATAATCATCTTATCTGTTATTTTTTTTTAAGTTCCTTTTCTATTTAAAATTAAAATGATATGTACAAATCAAATAAACTAAATAAATAAAATAAATAAAATAATGATATTCAACTTTCACATTTTCCTGCAAAAATTTTTTGCATATATGTTTCTTTATAAAAATTTTTAAATATATTTTTTAATATTAATAATACAAAATAATAGAATAAATAATAATAATAATAATAATAATAATCAACAAAATCATTAATACACAAACCTAGAAGAATATGTCACTAAACTGTATGCCATTATATTAAAGTTCTTTCTCTTTCCTATATATATATATATGTTTATATATTTATAATTAAAATTATTATTTAAATAAAATAAATGTAGGAAACATACCATTTTCCGTTTCTTTTTTTTATATTCTCCATCTTTACCATTTGTTTTACGTTCTTTATCTTGTTTATGCTTTCTCCGTCTCTCGCCTTCATAATCAAATTCATTTTTATGCTTTTTTTTCTAAATGGAAATTACCATGAAAGAAGAAGCTGTAGAAGAAGCGTTGTTGACTAATATAAATCTTTCGTCTAAAAATTATAAAAAATCGTCAACATACTTTCTTTTCATTTGATGATTTATCATCCCTGTCCAAGAGGAACGAATGATGAGGTACTACAACAAAGGTATCGGAATATATACATATATATGTGTGTATGTACGTGTGTAATATATTTGTGGGGGAAGAATTAGCGATTTAACTGACGGGAGAGAAAATCGAACTTATTGATTTACTCGATAATTATGCGTACCCATTTCATTATTATTTACCGCAGATCGATTATTAATAATAATATTATTATTAATATGAGAAGAAGTTTTTATTTCTTCATCAACCAATACGTCAACTAATCCATCAACTAATCCATATTCCGCTGGATCAAACTATTCATATAAAATATATATAATAATAATATACAATATATTATATTCAATGTATCATTATCAATCATTATCATTATATCCCTCAAAGATATTCAAATTATTTATACTCACTCCGGGAATTATTCCTGGTCGAAGTAAATTCAACATATTGCATTCGATAGTTTTAGAGTCCAATGGATATTTTTCTGGTGGATATTTTTCATTCCATTTTTTTCGTTTAGATGATTTATTTACAAGTTTCCTGAGACTTTTATCTGCAACTATTTTCATTTTTCCTATTATATCAAATTTTTAATTAATTAATAATAATAATAATAATAATAATTATTATTATTATTATTATTATTATTATTTATTATTTTTTTTAATAAACTTTCCATGGATAAAGATTAAAAAAAAATGGGAGTAAAAAATTTATTCTTCAAAATTGTGAATTTGTAAAATTTGTATGCTTTACCAGGAAGTTTATCAATATATGGAAAGGATGTAGGATCCATTCCTTTTTCCTTGTATGGTCGAACAAACCTATCATAAGTACTTGATAAATCAAAATTGTCAAGTTTTAAGCTTTTCATTTCAACAGTGTGATTCTGAGTAGAAGTTTGTATATGTGAACTATTATGACATTCTGTTGTAATAGTAGTAGCATTCTGTGACGTCTCTTGTTCTATTTGTGCTATTGAACCGATTAACATTAAGTTAAAAAAAAAAGATAATGTCAAAAAAAAAAATAATATAAATAAATTTCTTTTTATTTTATACCTTGTGGTTTTTTTATATAATAAAATAAATCGCTTATGTTTGATTTTTCCATATAGCTTGATCAATTGAGCAAGAGAATTTATAAAAAACTACTATCTACTTGTTATTTTTTCCAATACTTATTCACTACTATTGTAATTTAAACCTTTAACCCTGTGATATTAGGAACAATGGTTTAACTCGGTATTTTATATTGTGAAACTGATTTTCCGAAAACAATTGCTACAATTAGTTATATTAATTTACACAAATTAAATGTGACAGTTTTTTATGTGATAAATTTTAATCAAAAGAATGTATAAAATGATTTACATTTGACATGCAACCGTAACTGATAAATTCAAAAGTTTTTTTTTTTTTTTTTGACATGTCCGTTACATTACACACAGAACTCGGTGATCTTAAAATCGAAATTTTTTGTGAGGCTGTACCTACCACAGCAGAAGTCTGTATTTTTTATTATCCTTTTATCCTGTTAATGATTCCGTTGACGATTCGTTATAGATTACGTTGACGATTTCATATCTCTTTATTTCAGAACTTTTTGGCTTTATGTGCAAGTGGATATTATGATAATAATTTGTTTCATAGGTATTAAAAGAAATCAATTTATTTAATTTTTTACAAAAATATTATAATCAAAACATGTTTACAGTTCGTCTTTTTTTTTTTTTTTTTGTTGTCAATTAAACTAGAAATATCAAGAACTTTATAGTACAGGTATTTATTTTATTTTTTTCATAGATCAAGGAAAAATCGAATAATAAATAAGTAAATTTCTAATTCTTTTTTTGAGACGGGAGATCCAACAGGAACAGGAAAAGGAGGAAATTCAATTTGGGGAAGAAAATTCGCTGATGAAATCAAATCATCTTTAAAGGTAAGTAAAAAAAAAAAAAAAAAGAGAATCTTTAAAAAACCATTACCAATTCTTATAATATTTAATATGTAGCATAATGCAAGAGGTATTGTATCTATGGCAAACAATGGACCAGATACTAATGGATCACAGTTTTTTATTACCTATTCGAAATTGCCTCATTTGGATACAAAATATACAGTTTTTGGCAAGTAAGTGAATTCTTAAATAAATAAATAAATATAAATAAATAAATATAAATATATATATATATATGATTATCTCGATGATATTATTTCGATAATATTATTTTCGATATTGTTTTAACTCATCAATTCAAAGAGTAATTGACGGTGCAGATACAACATTGGATGCTATTGAGAAAGTTCCTATTGATGAAAAAAATCGACCCATCCAAGATATTCGAATTAAATCCGTAACGATCCATGCAAATCCATTAGCTGATCGTGATTAATTAATAAATAAAAAAGAATAATTAATATAATTATAATAATTTAAGTACAGAATAAAAAAAATAAATAATTTCTTTAATAAATTTTTACTTTGATTAGTATTCTATTTATAACATTTTATTCTATTTATTCTATGATTATCAAATTTCACTGATGCTCTAAGAAATATAGATAGTCCGAGTTTTTTAGACAATAGAATTAAATATGATGAAAGACATTTAATAGTATTATAAAATAAAAAATAAAAAAAAATTCTTAACCTGTTATGATTTGGATGTGGATTAGTAGTGCTACCATCCTTTATTATTTTCTTTCTAACATTTGCAAATTTATATTTATATAAATTTATTATTTATTTGGTTTATTTATTTTGTTCTTTATCTTTAAAGACAGGAACCTTATTAATTACTTCCTGTGTTACTCCAACTGAATAATTATGATAATATTATATAATTTTGACAACAGTGTTACTCTGAGTAGAAGTTTGTATGTGACATTTCGTTCTAAAAAGTAATAGGGATTTATTCATCATTCTTGTTAAAGGTCACTTATGATCAATAATAATCAATAATTTCAAATAATTTAACAAGAAAAAATTAATACATTACTTTTCTAGAGTTCATTTGATAATTTTTTTGATAGACCAGTTGTTACATGTCCGCACAAAACTTGGTGAGGCACAGCAGAAGTTTTATTTTGCGTTTGACGAATTCATGATTTTGAGATAACGATTTTATATCTTTATTTCAAAACTTTTTTGGCTCTATGTGCAAGTGGATATTATGATAACAATTTGTTTCATAAGTATTAAAAGAAATCAATTTATTTTTTTACGAGAATATTATAATCAAAATATGCTTACAGTTCGTCTTTTTTTGTCAATTGAACTGGAAATATCAAAGAATTTATAGTACAGGTATTTATTTATTTATTTTTTTCACAGATCAAGGAAAAATCGAATAATAATTTTAATTAAATAAATAATTAAGTAAATTTTTGATTATTTTTGAAGCGGGGAGAACGGAGAACAGGCAATTTGGGGAAGGAAATTCGCTGATGAAATCAAATTATTTTTGAAGTAGAAAAAAAAAAGGAACCACTTATAAGTATTTAATATTTAACATAATGTAAGATGTATTGTAGGGCAAACAATGGACCAGGATCACAATTTTTTATTACCTATTCAAAATTGCCTAATTTTTTTGGCAAGTAAATTTATATTTCGAAATAACATCCTAATTGATGGAAAATCCATTAGATGATTTCTTGATTTCTTGAGTAAATTTTTTGGTAGACAAATTAAGATGTGTGTAACGAATCGAATTATTCTATTTATTCTATTTGTTCTATTTATTATATGATGTAATTATGATTATCAAATTTTACTGAACTGATGCTCTACGAAATCCGAAATAAAATATGACGAAAGATTTATGTAATAGTATTTTCAAATGTTTATTGATAATCAAAGGCGGATAATTGCATCACGGGTAATTTTAATTTCAAAGGTTTTAATTTTTTTTTTTATAAAAAAAAATGTAGTTAAATAGAGGTTTACAATTAGTTCTTTTTATATTCCTTGACAGGATGCAAATCTCAGAAGTCTTGGATTTTAGTGAGTCACTCTTAATATATGCTTTGTTGGGTGGATTTATATTACTTTACGGCCTGTTGTCATTGATTGTAAAAGAAAAGTTATTTATAAGCGAATCTTGTATGTATATCAAAAAAAAAAAAAAATAAAATATTTTGCCTTTCCAAAAATAAAATAAAAAATAAAAAAAATGATTTTAATTTATTTTTTTCGATTATTTAGTGGTTGCAACAATAGTTGGAATAATTCTGGGTCCGGCTTGTTTAAAATTTATTGATCCAATGGTAATGTTTATTTCATTAAAACTTGTTGTTTACATATGATTTTTTTTTTTTTTTAAAAAAAAAAAACTTAAAAGATGCGTCTGATATGATAAACAGAAATGGACTGAAGAAGATACGGTAACGGAAGAATTAATGCGTATTGTACTTGCATTTCAGGTAAAAAATATATTGGATATAATAAATATTATAAATTCTTTAATAAAAATTTTAAATTATAAAAAAATTATAAAATTATAAAAAATTATAGATTATGGCGGCAGCAATTAATTTGCCTAGGTATGATTCTTAATAATAATAATAATAATAATAATAATAATAATAATAATAATAATAATAATAATAATAATAATAATAATAATAA